TTAAATATTGATTTTAAGAGGTGTTAAAAATGAAAACATCCTAATGGAAACATTTGTTCCTCTTCGCCAGAATAGCAAAAGGAACAGGATTATACTGAAAAAAGCAGCATTGACAGGAGAAAAAAAAATGCAAATGTAAATCCTAAAATCCTAAGAGTTCAAACTCTCAGAGGAGAAGGGTTGTGATAAAAAAGAGTAGTTTAGTTTGATATAGCCCCATTAATTTAATTTTGCCTTTACTTCCCTTGACTTTTGTGTCAAATTCATAAAATTCTCTCTAAGACCAAGGTCCATAAGTTTAGTAGCTATGTTTTCTTCTATGTAATTTATTGTTTCAGGTCTTATATTTAGTTGTTTAATCCATTTTGAGTTGATTTTTATATATGGGGACAAATGATAGGTTAGTTTCATTCTTTTGCATGTGGCTTTGAAATTTTCCAGCGCTATTTACTGAAGATGCTTTGTTTTCCCCACTGTATGTTTTTGGCTCCTTTGTCAAAATTACTTGCCCATATATATATAGGTTTATTTCTGGGCTTTCGATTCTGTTTCTTTGGGTTGTATATCTGTTTTTCTGCCAATAGCACGCTGTTTTGATTATTGTCACTTTGTAGTATAATTTGAAGTCAGGGAGTGTTATACCTCTGGCTTTATTCTTTTTTCTCCCAGAATTGTCTGGGTTCTTTGGGCTCCTTTGCAGTTTCATACAAATTTGGGGAATTTTTGTTCTATTTATTTAAAAAATGTGATTGGGATTTTGATAGGGATTGCATGAAATCTGTATATTATTGCTTTGGGTAATACAGACATTTTAACTATGTTGATTCTTCTAATCTATGAACATGAATATCTTTCCATTTATTGAGTCCTTTTAAATCTCTTTTAATAATGCTTTGTTGTTTTTAGTAGATAAGTCTTTGGCATCCTTTGGTAAGTTTATGCCTAGGTATTGTATTCTTTTTGTTGCAATTGCAAAATAAATTTTTTAAATTTATTTTTCTGAAATTTCATTGTTAGTATATAGAAATGCAGTGAATTTCTGTACATTGATTTTACTTCCTGCAATTTTACTGTATTTATTGTTTCTAATGGTTCTTTGGTGGAGTTTGTAGGGTTTTCCATATAAAGAGTCATGCCATCTGCAAAAAGTGACAATTTTACTCCTTTATTCTCAATTCAGATGCCTTTTATTTATTTCTTTCTCTTGCCTAATTGCTAAAAACCTTCTTCAGGGCAAAAGAAACTACCAACAAAACAAAAAGGCAGCCAACTGGATGGGAGAACATATTTGCAAAAGGGGTTAATATCCAAAATAAAAAAATAATTCATACAACTTACCACCAAACAAACGAACAATCCAAAGAGGACCTAAACAGACACTTCTCCCAAGAAGACATACTAATGGCCAACAAGTATATGAAAAGATGCTCAACTTCACTAGCTATTAGGGTGATGCAAGTCAAAACTACAATGAGGTACCATTGACTGTTATCAACAAGACAAGTGAGCAAGTGTTGGAGAGGTTGTGGAGAAAAAGGAACCCTCATTCACTGCCGGTGGGGATGTAAACTGGTACAGCCACTATGGAAAACAGTATGAAGGCTCTGCCAAAAAATTAAGAATACCATTAAGTTACCATATGACCCAGCAATCCTCCTTCTGGGGATCTACCCCAAAATTTTGAAAACATTTATTTGCAAAGATACATGCACCACTATGTTCACTGTGAACCTTATTCACAGTGACCAAGACATAGAGACAACCAAAGTGTCCTTCAATAGATGATTGGATAAGGAGAATGTGGTACATATATACAATGGAATACCACTCAGCCCTAAGAAAAGATAAAATACTTCCATTTGCAACAACATGGACGGATCTTGAAAATATCATGCTAAGCAAAATAAGTCAGACAAAGTTGACAACAATATGATTCACTCATATGTGGGATATAATACTGAAAGCAATGAATGAATAAACAAGAAAAACAGATAAAAATTCATAGGCATAGACAACAGTATGATGGTTATGAGAGGGAAGGGGGTTGGGGAGGGCAGGAAAGAATAAAGGGGGTCAATTATTTGGTGATGGAAAAAGATTTGACATTGGATGGTGGGCACACAATGCAATATACTGATGAGGTATCATGGAATTGTATGCTTGAAACCTATGTAATCTAATTAACCTATGTCATCCCAATAAATTTAAGAAAAGACCTAAAAAAAGAGTAGTTCACATGATAATTAAAATAATCTAATGCCCATAAATTCTTTGCAGTTTTTTGTCAACTAGTATAAAGAAAACTTTCCTGTGAAATATTGATCAACTTGATAATAATTATTTTTAAATCAAATGTTACTCTTCTAAAGATAGAATTACAAATTCTCTGAGGTCAATGATAATAAAAGGTTAAGGGTGTCTTCTGAGTTTAGACAAAGAAATTAACTGTCTTTTTAAATCTGTTTCAAGTCAGAACCCATTGTCTGCTCTATGTTAATTTACCACTTTAAGCTTTGCCATTTCTTCTAACAATATAGTCATATTGTACTTTATAGTACAATTGAAAGACTCTAGTGATGTTGTATTTTCTGTTATTTTAATAGGAAGGAATAATTAAATAGAAATGAAGTTATACTCAGCTTACACAACTAACTTGAAGCAACCAGTTACCTGACTGTCCTTCAAACACTCATTTAATCAGTATGTGTTTTTAATAGTAACAGTTACATGCTTACAGAGAGAGCATAATTAAGAAATACGATGAAATTAGTGAAGGTACTAAAGGAAGCCATATGGACATTTATTCTCTCAGCCCATAGACTATCTATATTCACTTTGTGTTTTAATGTGCATTTAGGAAATACTTCGTGAGCCAATATAGCAATACCAGATGTACATCGCAAGCTGACTATGAAACAGATGGTTTTATGATCACGCTTGTGTTTAAAAAAATAAATAAATAAAAGGTGTTGTTCTATCATTTAAGGTTCGCATTTATGTCACATGCCTCTTGTTGAGTATTATTAGTGGTGTTATCCTGTTAGAGCATATCATATCTTTTTTTTTCTTTGCATCTGTTCAGTAAGTATGCTGACTGATTCTCTTTGCAGGAAGGATAAATTATCCAATTACATTGTTGTGAATATGATATATTACATAGTCTTAATTTTCTTATTAACATGATGACATTAGCGTAACATATACTATAGGCAACCATGAAAAATCAACACATATATCTAAAAGCCATGTCGGGTTGCATTCAGTTTATTAAATGTCTTATCCATGTAACCTAACAGATTTGATATAAACATTTTATTACTTATTGGTGTATTTATGCTGTATATGATATAGTTTTGTTTAAGTTCAAAGGTAAAATGCACTCTGGAAGTAATTCTTTATTGAGAGGCTATAATTATTTTAGACATAGTAAACTAATAAAAACATTAGTGTACACTTAGCCATAATAGAAAATAAAAGTGACTACAGCAATAAATGCACATTTCTGAAGAAAGCACTTAAGCATCATACCTTTTGCTCATGCAATACATTTCAATTTCACTTCTTTAGAACGTAATGAAAGGAAATGGTTTCAAGAAAAAGCCTGACCTGTCTATAAACCCAGTCTGTGTCCTGACATCCTGGTACTGTTCACTGCCTGATCTGTCAAGGTAACCTAAATCTGATTTTCAGTTATCCAGTGGGATTTATCCTATCATCTTAACTGACTAGTTAACTGACTAGATTGTAAGGAGAGGTCTTCATTTATTGAACTATCATTTTTACCAATTACTAAATGACTAAATGCTCTTATGCTAGCCACAAGGGATACTAATATAAATGGATCATTGTGCATGCCCTCAAGATCACCATCCAGTAGTAAAGCAGGATGCAAATAAATGCATGGGTGTGTGGGTGTGTGGGGGTGTGGGGGTGTGTATGTGTGTGTGAGAGAGAGAGAGAGGAGAGAGGTAGAAGGGGGGAGAGAGAGAATTACTATTATTGTAAACAAATAATTAAACCGTAGTTAATTATATTCATTCTAAAGCATTAAAGGGGAAGTTTATTGATGCCTGCCATTTACTTTGGCATGCACTTAAAATAAAATGGATTAAGGATGGAGAGAGGGTGGGATGGATGGATGGATAGGTAGGTAGGTAGATAATACAGTAAGATATTAATGACAGAATCTAAGTGCTATATATACAAGTTTTTACTGTAAATTTCTTTTAAATTTTTCCTATGTTTGAAAACTTTTTATAATAAAATGCTGGGAAGGAAAAGAAAACTGGATGTTTACAATTGAAATTATGGAGGAAAGAGGGCTGTTGTTGATTATGGCTAGTTTAGAGTAAGAACATGCAAGCAGTTGGCCATTTTAGGATGAAAATAGAGTTAATAAAGGAAAGTCAAAAAAATTGAGAAGCCAGAGCAGGGAACTGGAAGGTTCGTCTATTTGAATCTATATGAATACTGCAATCATCAGAGTTCTGTATTTGTTGTTCCAGAGAAAGTGATACTGAACCAATACTCAAATATTCAAGGAATAAGAGAGACTGACCTGTGTATAACAGTAGAAACAATAATAGCAAGTGACATAGTCTGATGGCAGAAGCTTCAATGATGGAAGCTTTTTATAAGAAGGAATGAACAGTGCTCTTGATACAATAGAGAGAAATGAAATGGGCATTTATTCCAGTTTCAGGCTCAGAGACACAGGGCCATAGGAGAAAAAATAGCCACTGCCTGAGAAAGCTGTATGAAAAATGGCATGGGAGCCCTAAATGACTTGCTCAGTTGGTTAGGACGTTGTACTGACACACTATGGTTGTGGATTTGATCCCCAGTCAGGGCGCATACAAGAATAAACCAATGAATGCGTAAATAAGTGGAACAACAAATCCTTCTCTCTCTCCCCTTGCCCTCCCTCTCTCCCTCCCCCTCTCTCAAATCTGTTTTAAAAAAATAGCGCGGTAATGATGCAATCAAGTCGTGATTAGAACATGAAGGTAAAGGAAATGTTTAACAAAGATGTTAAAGATACAGATTTTCATAAGGAAGAATCACAAGATGCAGGTAGTACACCAACAGAGTTTAGGGAATGAAATTAGGAATAGGGGTAGGACTTGGAGTCAGATAAGATTAAACACAAGCCAAATGGGGATGAGAGTCTGGGACTTCTGGTGGGAAACAAAATACACAGAATTCACAGGTATGATGAGAATAGTCCTGGTGGTCTCAGAGACCAATAGAGTGATAAAGTTCTGAATGATAGAAGGGGAGAAGGATGTGGGTATCTTTCCACAAGTATGCAGAAAGAACAGATATTTATCAAGCAGACAGGTGGGGAAGGTATTTCCAAGCACTGGAAACAGCCTGAGCAAAGGCTCAGAGGTTCGTAACAATAGAACGTTCCAGGGGTCACAAGTATAGCAGTTGAGTATTTGTGGTATATAAAGTGCAAGGATGTGAGTTCTAATTGTTGAAGCTTCAGGGTATTACATGACAAATGGAGAGGGTTTAAAATTATCCTAAAAGCAGTGGGGAGCCAATGAAGAATTGTACAGAGAGAAGTAAATTAATCACATATCTCAGTTACAAAGAATACTCTGGATGCAGTATAAGGCTTGGACTGGATGTTATCTTGCTAGAAGCAAAGAGGCCATTTAAGAGGATTGATCCAAGGGCAGATGACAAATAGCTAATGCCTGAACTAGAAATATGGCAGTGGAGATGAACAAGTATGGAGAGATACAAGCTGCAGCAATTGATGCAAAAAGCAAGACAAAGGGGGAAATTCATGACAACCTCACAATTCTGGGATGATTATGAAGCCAGTAACTATACAGGAAGTAATAGGAGCCGGGGGGATTTAAAAGTTGAGAGGGCTTGAATTAGGGAGAATATAATGAATTATTCTTGTAACATGTGGTTGAATGCAAATGTATGGTAAAAATTTGGGTTATATAATCAGGGGATGAATGTAGATTGCAAAGTAGCTTTTAGCAATTTTAAATAATTGAACTAAAATCTGATTGCTATTACTGCTAGCCAAAACATTACAACACAAGAATGCAAATTAGGAGGGAACCATGGAAATCGAGAGAAATTAACAAGATTAACATATTACAAGACATTCTAACTTGAAAAAAATATATGTTCAATGATAAGTTAATACATGAAAATAGCTTGAAAAGAGTAGTTCTGATATATTGTCTATTTCTGATTCAGTAATATTTTCAAGAGCTATAAATTGTAATTATGAGCCTATTACTACATATTATGTACCCCAATACTGTACAGAGTCAACAAACCTAGAAGCAGAGTTTTTGCTTTCTTAGAACAGTTGGATCAAACACAACTTAATGTATTCTAAACCACTTGCTCTCATTAAGCTAGGAACTCACATAGTTCCTTTATTCCATAAGCAATAGCCTAAATTTTTTTGACAATGGCACTACAGCAGTACCATTCTGAAAACCACAATATAAAGCCAATAAAGAATACACTTAAACCCTAATAAATATATTAAATATGCATGACCATAAAAGACTCTTGTTAAAGGAAAAATTAAGAATGATTTCATGAATGCAGTTTTATTTTTGGTATTATGAGTCAAAACACTTAGTATATAAACTTTTTTCAATCAGTGTATCCATGGAGAGATCAATTTTCATTAAGAATATACAACCATACATTGCAATTGAATTCTGAAGTTAAAAATATTAATATTATGAAGTTTTCCTAGGTTAAATATAACAATATGAAAATGAAAGTTCACTTTCTTAAAACTGGAAAAAAAATTAACTTATCCCAAAGGGAAAAACCATTCCTTTACTTTGTTTGGAAGCTATCTTGCAAAAACCTTAATTATAAAGTAAAATAGAAATCTAGACTTCTGGCCAGCTGGAGGCACAGGTAGATACCCTTCACCTCATTGCACAACCATAGGAACAAACACAACTCCTTTAAAAATGAAAAACACCCAGAACTACCAGAAAATTACCAAGAAAAATACCCAGAACTGTATGGAAGTCCAACAACCAAGGATTTAAAGAAGCTGTATTCATCCAGAGGGGTAGGAGGGGCTGAGATAATGAGTCAGGGCAGAGAAGAAATGGCTTGGCAGTGACGAGCTGGGGGTGGGGGTGGTCAGTGGAATGGTCAGTCCCACACTCACATGTGGTAGACAAAAATCAGGGGGACACCTATGAGCCAGCGATCCCAGCCCCAGGCCAGACAGTGCAGCACATGGTTCCAGAACCAGGAAAAATAAAATCTCATAACTTCTGACTATAAACCCAGTGAGGTTTGGGGCAGTGGAAGCCACTGCAGGTTTCTCAGGGGAGCCCAGAAGGTACACAAACCCACCCACTTTGGGTACTATAACCAGGATAGCAGCTGGAGGGACACCAGTCACAGATGGGAAATGGGTTAAGTGGCTGGAAACAGGGCAAGTGCCAGGCAAGCCCCCAGAAGTCAGCCCACTGTGGCATTGTCCCCTCTTTGACGCCTACCCCACACATGGAGCCACAAAGCAGCGAACGAGGTTGCCGCACCCTGGCAAATACCCAAGGCTCCACCCCATACAACTTAACAGGTACACTAGGGCAGGAAATCAAAGCAGCTCTACCTGGTACACACAGAGAGGCTGACAAAATGAGGAGACGAAGAAATATGGCCCAGGTGAAGAAAGAGAACAGAATCTCAGGAAAAGAACTAAGTGATACAGAGATAGCCAACCTATATCAGATGTAGAGTTCAAAACACTGGTGGTCAGAATGCTCAAAGAACTCATTGAATATGGCAAAAGCATAGGAGAAGAAATGATGGTTATACCAAGGGAAATTAAAGGAAAATCCACAGGAAACCAACAGTGAGGGGAAAGAAGCCAGGATTCAAATAAATGATTTAGAACATATGGAAGAAATAAATATTCAACCAGAACAAAATGAAGAAACAAGAATTCAAAAAATGAGGATATTTTAAGACTCTGGGACATCTCCAAAAGGGCCAAAATATGAATTACAGGGATGACAGAAGGAGAAGAGGAAGAGCAAGAAATTGTAAACCTATTTGAAAAAATTATGAAAAAGAACTCCCTTAATCTGGTGAAGGAAATAGATATAAAGCACAGAGAGTCCCAAGTAAATTGGACCCAAAGAGGGCCACACAAAGACACATCGTAATTAAAATGCCAAAGGTTAAAGATAAAAAGAGAATCTTAAAAGCAGCAAGAGAAAGGCAGAGAGTTACCTACAAAGGAGTCCCCATAAGACTGTCAGTTGATTTCTCAAAAGAAATTTTGCAGGCTAGAAGGGACTGGCAAGAAGTTATGAAAAGCAAGGACCTGTAATCAACATTACTCTAACCAACAAAGCTATCATTTAGAATGGAGGGGCAGAAAAAGTGCTTCCCAGACAAGGTAATGTTAGAGTTCATCATCACCAAGCCCTTATTATATGAAATATTAAAGGGTGTTATTTTTTAAAAATGATCAAAACTATGAACATTAAAATGACAACAAACTCACAACTATCAATAACTGAATCTAAAACACAAATTAAGCAAACAACTAGAACAGGAATACAATCATAGACATGGAAATCATTTGGAAGGTTATCAGAGGGGAGGGGGAAGGAAGAAAATGGGGGAAAAGGTGGAGGGATTTAGAAGCATAATTGGGTAGGTACAAAATAGACAGGGGTATGTTAAGAACAGTATAGGCAATGGAGAAGTCAAAGAACTTATTGCATGACCCATGGACATGAACTAAGGTTGGGGGGGATCACTGGAGGGAAGGCAGGTACCAGGTGGAGGAGAGCAAAAGGGGAAAAATTGGGACAACTGTAATAGCATAATCAATAAAATATATTTATAAAAAGAAGTCTACAACTACAGCTTTGGGATTCTTCTTTTAACCTAAAATGATCATATATAGGTGATGAATCATTCTGCCATGTTCATGTGTCCATTTTCCCCAGTTCTGTTTAGATACAGTATTCTAGACTAGATGGACATAAACATTTAATGCTAGAACACTGTCAAAATTCTGACCAAAGTTGACATTTGTTAAACTACATCTGTCCATATTTGGACATGACACAATATCAGAGGTAGAGACATATTTAGCATCCTTACATGAAATGAAATTTCTTTTAATACCTTTTTATCATTTCTAATTATCAAGGTTTGTTCTATCTGTTCAATCTTGTGGATATCTCCTCACTAATAGAACATTATTTCTACTATTTTTCCTTGGGTTCTGCTAAATTTGCAATTTTGTGGTTTTTAAATACAGTTAGTTATTAGTGTATCTTGTCTTAATGACTAGACATATGCTGAGTAACATATAATCTTCTAACTATAACCAATATAACGAAACTGAGGCAACTGTAAGAATTCTAACAGCTTAGTTTAATTCGTAGTCTGTAGCATTGCATTAGTACTGCTGAATCTCACTGTTGAAGATAAAGAAGGTAATTTGTAACATGGAAGGCTGATGATATTGTCAAGCAAATGTTATCCTTCCATCTAGGATTTCTGACAAGGGGTCATTGCTCATGGTTGCTTAATTTAACCGCTGTTAGAATTAACAGTGCTTTTATCATCTAAATAGCAAAAGTTAGAGCAACTCCATTTAAAATTTCTATTCTGATAAAAGTATAAACAGCATTTAAATCAGCATATACTCAAACATATATAATCAACCACTTCCCCAAAATCTAAAACAAATTAAATCACCCAAGCATAATTTAAGAACCGAGCACTTCAGCAATTTAAAAAATTTCTTTCTTCCTCATCTTTCTTTTCAAGTCTTGTGTAAATGGCTCAATGAAAATGACCCTTGGAGTTCTCAAATTTTTTTAAACAATTATCTTGGACCCTTTGATTTTACCATCATTAATCTTGATTTTCTCTTCATCCTAGGGCCTATGCAGACTCTAACATATCTCCTTTATGTACAGTTTTCATTCAGATCAGCAATCACTTCTTGAACTTAGTGACAGAACTTTATTTCCTTGTTTTTTACCTTTGATATGTCCTAAAACACAGTAGGTTCTCCCTCTCTGGGT